AAATAGCTTAATGATGGTTTAACGGCCATTTACTGCGGTGATGTTTCTAACCTTCAATACATCGTCGAGCGACGAGATGTCAATGTGAATCTCAAGGTCTCTTCTTATAAGTGTTTTTATTGCATATTACCTCAGGCCAAGTACAGATGTATTTATAAAGATCAGGCTTTTAAATAACGAACAGTAACATTGATTTTGTTTTTAATAAAATTAAGGTGAGATCCCAAAAAGGAAAATTTGTAAAGTGAAAAGTTTATACGTGTGTTTAAAACTATATTATTATATCTATGTAACATTTTAATTATTTCTGTAAAGACGGACAGAAAAGATGCTTGTTATTTTTTAATGAAAATCTAATTAATGAAGCTTGCAGTTAATATAAGAATATGTTGCAAAAAGTAATAATATATTATTAACATACTTTTTGGTTAATCCTTTGGTTAATATTCCTAATTTAATGGAACGATGTAAAAGTAATAGAATAGAATTACAGATTAAATGTCCTGAAAACCACTTGTCAATTCATTGTTTATATTAGAAAGAAAAAGGTTATTTACATGAAAAATTTTCTAATGTAACTTTTCACCGGTGCATTTTATATTATTTAATTTGAAGTCATCAAATGCAATGACGTTACCCAGCAGTTTCAACCGATTTACTGTTTACATATTAAACGTAATATATGTTTTTTAAAAAACTTTTTCGAGGCTTTACTTACATATTTAAACATAAACATATAAATAAAGCTAATATGTGCATAAATATGGGTTTTATTATACAAAAATTTCGTGTTCTTTACAATAATTCTTTTTTAAGTTTACAGAAAATCGACGGTCAGTCTTCAATTTTTGATTTTTGGTTTAATTATTAACACGATTTTAATATTTGTGTTTTACAAAAGATATCATAAAATAGAGTTACCGACTTAAACCGTATTAAAACATTAAATTGAAAAAAATATGTTATATAATATCACAATATTCTTTTCTATTCTAGTTGCGTACAAAGCAACTAATTTGTATTGCTAATTAATTAAAACTTAATGTACTAGATACAAGAAAGGGCATGCATAGTAGTCTGGTTGATAATGATATTCATTGATTGAGTGGGTGTGACAAATTTGCATTACAAGTCCTTATATGAGTCTCTTTGTTATGTGACACATTATATCAAAGCATACTGCGTATCAAAAATTGCTACTCGAATTTTAAATGCATCTGAACTACTAAATAGTATTGCAGGAATTTCTCCTATATTTAGTTTGGTTGGTGTTTTAATAAAGGATGATTTATTTGTTACTTTCTAAACTGTTAACTAGTATGTAAAATGTATGACAGTTTTTTATATTTTTGTGTTATCATAGTAAAATATATCTATAACTCTACTTATCACAAATACATTTTGTCGCATACATTTACATATTGAAATTATAATTGATCGCATACAGAATAGTTCTTTTTAATGTCGCCCAGTTATATGATTTATTGATGTATGTTCAATAGAATTCAGTGATTATTATTACGGAACGGAATTTAATAGCTAGTTCTGTTTAACTTATGCCGTGATACCCTTATGGTAGTACATTTAAAATTATACCTTAGCATTGGCACAATAGATCATACATTACAATATCTTTGACAGATTTAATAAGACATTTATTTTGAATGTAAATGATTGATTATTCTGCAAAATTCAGAGGCACTTAATTGTTATTTGTCATTGTGTGTGTTAGATTGACGCGGTAAACCCACTATCCGTGCATTTGTGTACAAATTGCAGTATGACAATGGATTGTGTTTATTAAATGTGTTTTATAAATAACCATTATTGAAATAAAAACATAGTTAAAACATATTAAGGAATAAGTATCTATCGTAATGAAAACAGGCGAATATGAATGCTATTACTAAGTTAAGCGAAGTACTTCAATATATAAATTGATGTGGGATTCCTATAAAAGTAAAAACACATCAGCAAGACACCTATTATTATTGAAATGTTATTGTCATTAATTATTATAGACTATAAGTACGAGCTATATACTATAGGTAACTCGTGAATCATGATTTTAATTACAAAATAATTTTGTGAAAGCGATTACCTTCCGATAGGTGGTGGCTAAAAGAAAAGTATTTCAATACAGTTGTTTAAACATTATTAATACAATTCTCATGTCATTCACATCTATAATGTGGTAAATATTGCATTATATTTTTGTATTTTGATCACGATGTCGTGGACAAGTAACGTTCTGACGCCCGTAAATAAGACGCGTTGCCAACAAAAAAGCATTACTCAATACTAAGTTAGCAATACAGCTACAATACGATGTCTCCGGTTTAATATTGAGCAATGATTCAAATGTCTATCGATCTGATATGTTTTGGGAAATAGAAAAGAAAAACAGGATTATGATATTTTAATATTACACATTTTATGTATAAAAATAAATATTTCTTTTTTTTATATTTATTTTTTCGGACTGATTACATTTTATATAATAATTAAGTATTGAATTGCATAATTTTTTACAAAACCCTTGTTATAAATCAGCTTTATTTTTATTAAATATTAAATATGATAGAACTTTGATGAGTGATTATATTATATTTATAATAATAGTAAAACCTTAATTAAGATACTATTTTAAAATAGAAGCTTAAGATTAATTTGTAGGCATTAAAAACTGTAAATTATTATAGGTATCGATTTTCGTCAATCTCATCGCAACTTACGTTGGCTGTTGGAACCCACTAATGCAGAAAATTTAATTTTATCGGTTAATCTAATCCATAGAATCTAGTTATGAGGAATTTAATTGATACTATATGTTATAGATGTAATTAATCCTTTCACAAAATTAATTGCGATGTTTATAATTTTAATTAAGATTAATTTCAACGATTCATACCACTTCACGTTTTTAGATTTATTCAATGTATATAAGTATTCAATTAACTTTATTTGATAGTCAATAATAACAATGGCATCATTCGATGTGATTTCAATTTATGATAACCGCAAAACAAAAATCAATGTTGAAATATTCTGGTAATATTATGCAATGAAATAATCGATTGAAGTTCATGGTTTCAAAATATTCGGCATACGCGATTTACGTTACGAAAAAAAACCAAAATCGATTCTTTACGCGAATTATTCAACGTTTACATACTCGTATATCTAAAAACATAACAGCTGTTTATTAAATATTTATTTATCAATATAAATGAATATTCTTTACAATTAGTTATTGAAGGAGATAAAACTTAGCGGAATATTCCTAAGAATGTACGCTTCATAAAATATGCGACGAGCGATATTTTACAAGAATTAATTATAAATAGACATAAAAGGCGCTAAAGTTACAGATAATAGAACACGTGCTGGTGAATAAATAGTTTTAATTAATTATAAAAGGGTATGCATTTGTCACTCACGTTTGTCTTGCAATAATTGGTGTGACATTTGTATTATCATGTATAAAAAAAAATATGGCCAACTATACTAACGTATATCTTTCCGGAATTAGGATTATAAATTTACAACTGAGATTTTTTTATTACTTTCAAAATTAGTAAATTCAATTAGAAGAATGTATTTCTATCTTTTAAAAATTTTGAAACAGTGCGCCTTTCTTTTGGATTTTATTAACAAGAGATCAGGAGAGAAAATCAGTTTTAAAGGAGTAGTTTATCATTTTACCATTTAATGTTTAGCAATATAAATTAATATTTTTTATATATAATAATTTAGGGAATGAAATATTTATCTATAACGAAATAAAAATGAATATGAAATATAAGTATATTTTATTCGTGTTAATTAATTATAGAACATGATATTTTAATCTTACTTCAAATCTCTGAATATTTTAAGAACTAACAGTATTCGCCACTCTGTACTTTTAGTTTTAGCAATAACTAATTAGCGTCGTCGTAGCTTAAATCGCTACACTTTTTTTTATAAACATTGAAAATTATTAAAAGTTTGCCGCAGTACACGTAAAAGGAATAAATATTTATGAATTAAAAACCTACCGCACCCCGGTGGAACCGACATTCAAGGGACCAAAAATCCTAAATATATATTTTTAACAACGTTGTTAAGGACTCCAAACAAAAGGATTGTCTCATACATTAATGTTACATGTACCAAAGAGTGATAATTAACTTTATCGTATTGTGTAACTATTATTTTATTATATATATGAATATATATCCATATTTATATATACATATATTATTTACTTAACCCAAATAATTAATTTATCGCCTATGAAGACTTCCCTGCAATCAAAGATTAAGATCGTATAAATGCCTATTTATAGAACTGGGCAATAATCAAAAGGCCAGTAATTAATTCGTTCACCTTAATATCGCAAAGTTGCCTAATGTATGCAAATACATGATGCCCTTGATAACTGTATCTCGAAGTCATCTTGCGAAGATAATTTTATGATTTATGCCGTTTAATGGAATAGTTACCTAATTTACTGTTTGAATAAATTAATCTACATATTGAAGTGCGTTAAAAATATGTTATCGTCATCGCTCTGGAAATTATTGTAAATTTAAAATGACTAAAATTCTTATATTTGAAGCAATGGAACGCAATTTTAATTTTATTAGTATTTAAAACATTATATAATTATTATAATTGTATTAAAGTCTTCGTGAATTACTTGTAATTAACCTATAAAATAGGTTTTAATTGGTAGTTGTGGCTTTTAAAATTAATATATTCTTCGTTGTGTATTTCATAAATGAAGCAGTCGAGAGAATCATAACACCTACCATGGTGTAGGCATACACTAAAAATGGATGTTATTTTAGCACTAAATCAATCAAAAGACGTACTGGTGTGTCTCGGCTTCTACGTAAAATATGACGATAAGCCGCATGTTGTACCTATATTACGATCGACTATATGCTGATTAATGTTAAATTTGTTTCAGATTGTATTCGTGGATGTCAATTTAACTTCGAAGATTTATCAATATGAATCTGTCATCAGGATTACAGGTGAGGAATTATTTATATATTATATACATTAGTTTACTAGTGTCAAATCACCTTATATTTGACTAAATTTCAGGTTTGATTTTTCTGCCCTGTTCATTAAACACTACTTTTTGATAAATCAAGCCAAAAGATCTACAGTGATTTAAATAAAACTTATTTTGTGTCTTAGTTTTTTGTTTTGGAGGAACTTGATGGTAAAGTTTAAGCTAAATAAGATGCAACTGTTTTTTTTTAAGATATGGCACGCATATATGTATATTTGAAAGAAATTACATCTTGTAATCTCCTATTCTGTTGTAATCTAGTGAGAATGAGACCTAAGAACAGAAAAACTCAATATATCATAAGTAATACAAGATTTTTTTAAAATTATATTTTGACAACAAGAATCGAAATTTGAGAGATATAAATAAATTTGTTTTATTTTCCTTGTTTGAATGTAAATTAAATAATGTCAAAGGAATTCCCTAGCAGAATATAATGCCGGTACTATTATAATTATTGTACTTATTTTTGTTTTATATGAGAATTTTTTTTTGTTTTATTTTGCATTATTTACTTCCTTATTAAATTATAATTATAAAAAAAAAAACTAGATTTTAGTGTAGATATGTTGTGATATATTTTATGTTCTCGTACATATGTAATATAAAGTAATTTTATCTATGTTTAAAACTTTTTTAATATAGTGACTATACATTTTTTGTTTCCTCAACGTTTATACTCCTATATTTTTAATGATACTTTAGGTATTTATCTCTTAATCTACACTCAGTTTTAGATAAATACAGTTTATTACGTATTGCTTAACATTTCATCTTTTGCAATTCTTAGTTTAAATAAAATCATCAAGATGATATAAATAAGATTAAAGCTTAGGAAACGTGAGTTGCGAATTGATGTGTTAACACAAACAATAGTATTTGTAACGATTGCTCCGTAATTTACACCCATTTTATGTAGTGGGTAACAGGCCTAATTACAATTTTATCAGTAACATCTTATAAAATTTTTAACGCGCTATTACTCATGTTATGAATTACAAAATATTTTTGTAAAAGCGATTACTTGGAGGTGGCTAAAAGAATTTCAAGCCTTATTCTTCACAAGCTATCTATCTTTTTTTAATAGTTGCATATTTAATTTAAACAGAAACTCTTTTTTGATGCTTCATTGGCAACGCAACCTTTTGCAATTAATTAAATTACGAAATAAATAAATAGTTTTTTACTATACTAAAAACTGGAAACCGAATAACTGCGGTACCAAGTAAAATGTAGGTTTATGGATTGTTATCAATAAATAATCATTTGAATACATATATCAAAATATAAATAACAATAATTAAACATAATATTCGTAATATCCAGGTCTATAAAAATCTACCATTTTTACTTTGTGTCTATAATTATTATTTGTAGAGCTCAAACTCTGTTTAATTTTATATACGCAATGAGGAGTGTAAACTGTAAAGAGAAAAATAAAATCCAATTACTATGTAAATTAAATTAAACGCAAGTAAATTCGCTAGCTAAACCTTGTTATTTATACGTGCCATTTGTGGTATCTTGATTCGTGAGTTGATGATAGGAGAGGCTTGAAGATGGCCTCATTTAACATCAAGGCTGGGGGCTTTAGAATTTTTGATTGAATATAAATTATAGAATCGATGAATACAAAATATATATATTTAAAAAGTGTATATATTATAATTCAAAAAGCATTGAAATATCTGATAGGTATATTCTTTACAATTATTTATTCATCATAATTTTTTACTTACTCTTCATATATATATTTCATCTTGAAATTTAGATTTTAACTTATACAAATGTAAAAATATCCTCGAAAATTTTCTTATTACGAACGCCTTTGCATCTCATGTATAGGTGTGGTACCTACCTGTGTATAAAATACTCGATTTATTCTGCTTATTGGAAGACAATTATTATAAGTATAGCATTTATTTTCAGTTGTTCGTGTGCCTGTTCATGTGTACGGTAAACGTACAAGGAATCAAGGTAAAGTTTGGTACTAAAGACGGTCCAATAGAGCCTCCTACTCCAGAGCCGCAGCCTCCGCCGCAGCCCTATAGAGATCCCGCACCAGTTTGGGAAGAAAGACCTGATGACACTGTTGACCCTAATGCTCATTGGTAATTTGCTTTTGCTCTTACGTAACGGGTAAACTCTTACCTTTTCTTACAGGGTTATTTTAATTGTTATTACAAGTAAATTAAATTACTTATAGCATATGGTCCCTAAGATCGCGATCTTTAAACCTTAATATTTAATAGACTTCCAGACTTTCATTATCCAATTCTGTGTAGACTAAATGATGAAAAAAAAATATTATGAGAATATAATAATTTAGTTTATTGATATTTATTAAATTTATTTTAGGAACAAAATTTTTGATTTGTGAAATTTAATAGTGAGTGTGTTCTTTTAACAGGAAACCACAACAGTCTATACCTCAGCCGAGGTACACACAAGTTTTCTTTAATCCCTCGCCAACGCAGCAGCCTCTTAACAATGTGCAACGTTTCGCAAACTCATACAAACCAGTACATCAACCAATTCAAGCCCGACCAATAGTTGATTACTTCAAACCAGCTCAAATATTGAGTTCACAAAGTTTGCCAGGATTCGGCATTCGTTATTTCGTTCCTAAGTATGTCAACGATCTGCAAGCTCGAAAGGAAGAAAAGAAACAGGAAGACGCAAAACATAATGAAATTGAAACAAATGATATAGCTGGAACTGAGAGTCATGATTATAATTCGGATTTGTTATGGAAATACGAAAAGGATGCTACCAAAAGGGCTCTCACTAACGTCTTAGAAGTAAGTGATGAGAAAAATATTGCTATGTAAATTTTGTGCTCGTACAGTTACTTTTACTTTTAGCTACACTTACTTTTTATAAAATATTCAACTTGGTTTTTTCGAATTCTCAGAATAAACCAGCAAGACCGATCTATGTTTGGCCGGAGTACGTGCAAAGAAGACATTAGTATCTATGGGATAGTTGTTAAGTTGTTGATTAAAAACAACAATTAAAATAAGGGAGTCTCTGAAATCAATTTAATGTTAAATTCTTTTATTATTTAAGATTCTAATTCAAATAACTAGTTTTAGACAAATAAAATATTTACTGAAACTATGAGACTATTTAAGAAGCTAATTTGAGGTTAAAGTTCTTCATTAAAATAAAATGAATTTTATTGTCTCTTTCAAATTATCATTATTATTTTGGACTAGATAATGTAGAGTTAGGAAAAGTGCCAGATGTTTTAAGCGGTATTTATATTTAGATTATATGTCTGTTAATCAACCATTCTTTTAAAATAATTTTATATTATAACAACCATCTTGTTACAAACACATAAAATTATAATAACGAGTTAAGAATAGACTATAAATTCGACTCAAGAATAAATTGTCACCTTTAAAGAAAACGCTAAGGACTGAAATTATCTTAGAAAACCTTAAACTACGTAACGCACGATATTAAATCATTTTAAATATAAAATATATCCAAGTAAAGACATACTAATAAATTTTTATGAATCTCTTGTCACTTAAAATTATTGCTTTGTATTTAAGTAAGTATATGTGTGTGAAGTAGGTGTACAGCAAATACTAAAAATCAGCAGCCAACATTGCGTGTGTGACCCAAATATAAAAATGAACAAAACTTGTCCTTAGTTCTATACTTGGTCTACAGATTTACAGTAATTGATGTGTATTTTATAAATGTGTTGAATTACGTTACGAAAAACATACTTTTTCAAGTAAACAATTTTTTCTATGACTATCAAATAATCTTTTTTACTGTATCAATGTTATAACAATAAAATGTAAGTTGTTTTTTTTACTTATTTTGTAATTTATTGAACAATAGATAACTTTTATAATAACATAATATATATTGCTGTTTCATGAAGATTACACTACAAACAGTTATGTCGTTTAGAGACAGATAAAGAAAATGTCATTACGAACGTAACATTGTTAAGAACAGACATGCGACTAATTTGTCTTTGTATTAAAGTTAAAATATATTTCTTTGAATATAAGAATTATCTGCAATAAACTTATGTTGAGATTTGAGTACAGATTTTATACATATTAATATTGTACAGTGTAAGTATAAAAAGTTAAAATGTTAATACAATTTTAAGACGTTTTTGTCTTTATGTTGTAGTTCTTGCTTTTTTAATGTATAACGACTAAATTGAAGTCTGTTATTAGGGATCAGATAGCGTAAATAATTATCTTGACGTTACATTTTGCACATCTCCATCATAACATTGTTCATGAAATATTCCGAATTTAGGAACTTTCACTGTTGCCTGTTGTTATGTCATTTTTGTGATAAATTATTTTTTATAATTTTTATGCTAGTATTAAATAAGTAATGTATGTTTTATATTGCCTAAATGTTTTATGTTAAGAGATTTATTATAAATTGCTTGTAAATATGTAAAATAAATGAACTAATTCATGCATGTGACGTTTTAATTTGCGGAACTTTGTAAATTAAATAATGATAAAATAATTAAAATGAAGAATAAAGTTTAATGTTATTAGGAAAAGAAATATTAATGACGTCATTAATTAATGATAAAAAGCATATGTAGCTGAACTTTTATAGCAGTACTTTTAATTGCCTTTATTGAAACACCGAGTAAAAAAAAGAATGTCGAATGTCTAACAAATTCTAGTTCTCATACCACATTAAGTATTCAAAGAGCTGCCGTGACTCGTGCCATAACTCCTATAGCATTGAAGACGTTTTACTTTTACTAATGCTTTATCAATACATCACTGTTGTTTCGTATGCGTTTTTAATTTATATACGCATATTTATTTATTTCTTGAAACCTTGATGGTCAAATTAACAAGAAAAAATGTGTTAATATTTTAATAAATTATTTTCTGAACGTACCAATATAACTGAATATCACAAGGTAGGTTCATAAACAAAAGAATTATAACAATATAATAAATATTTTTTGTAAAGCTTGATATTCCCAATTATTAACAGTATAAATTCAAAGTATAGATTTGTGTTGTAAAACTTGAAAATATTCTTGAAGTTCAGTCCAAAAAAATCAACACTTACAGAATTAATAACAGTTTTGTTGCTATACTTGTATGTTATTATATAGATTAATAAAAAGGCAACATCATAAAATAAAAAAAAACTTAACCTTGGATCGGATCGGCTCAATAATCAAGATGGCATCTGTTTACAAGTGGGAGGTATGTAGATACGAACCTTGGCTTCAATAAACCATACTGATGGTAAGGTAACGACTTGACTCAGTACCGTCACTACATTATATTATAAACAGAAGAGCATGGATATAATTAAACTAAAAGTATACTTTTACATGAATAATGCTTATCAATCTTCTTCTTCTTCTTCCTGGCATTTCCCAGCTTTAGTCAGGGTCTGCCTTCCAACATAGACGCCTCCACTTTGCACGGTCTTTGGCATCCTCGGTGGTTAATCTATGAATAATGCTTATCAATGGCAGCACAATTGTAAGCAGCCAGTAAAATTCTTATTAAAACTGACCAAAAACTAAACTAACTTACTTAAGTGATGTATTGTGTAGAAACACCTATAGCGGTAGGTACATACTTAGATACATTCATGTAGATGCAATGTAAAAAGTATATATTTATGATCACCGAATAATCTAATAACCTATTTTAAAAATGCTTAATTGGTCTCTAATTCAAATGCGATTACGTTAGTATTTGACACTAATGTTAATCTTATGTTAAATGAAACCAAAAGCTAAATTTTTATAAATGTTAGTGGTAGTTATCTCAGTACAATAAATAAGATAAACACGTATAATTTTTTGTAATAACTCTTGATGTTTTGTTAGAGCAACCTAATTTTTTATTTATAATTTTAATGAAGTAACTAACGAAATTCGGGAATTATATTATATTTATGTATCATAATAAAAATGATATATTTTATTTAAGTATATATAAGATTGGAGCTTTATAGGTGTTTCGAAGTTTTCATAGTTAACTTGATAATAATAGTAAATTAGTATTACATACTTATCACCAAAGATTTATAAATGGAAAATGTTGAGCTCGTTAGTAGTTAGGCAGATAATTAAGTAGCATATTAAAAATAGTGTTCTGCATGGCTCCTTAACCTAAACTTTTTTTTATATCTGCTTTTGGGACATCGATCCCAAATTGTATCGCCAACAAGGAATTATAAATGAAACAAAGTATCCCATTACCTACGAAACTTATTTAATATCTATATAGGTAAATATCAAAAACTTTCAATAGCCATATTCAACATTGGTAATATTGAGAGATACTTTTTATATATCTTGGATACTTTAATATTGATTATTATATTTTTATTATCGTTGTTGTATATTACGTTTAAATTTACGTATATTACGATTATATTTAATAAAAATAAGTTTTATTTAATATTTATAATTTAATGCAAAAAATTATGTAACTTTACAAAACATTTTATAATATTGATGTAGATTATAATTTGAAAGCATTTAAGAAACTTGTGTATTAGATTAGCTTAATAATCTAAATCCAACTAAACCTGTATAAAACGAGAAACAGATAATTAATTAGAAAAAAATCTCACTCAAATGTTGAAACGATTGAAATATATTTCTTTTAGGAGAATTGGCACATCTATTTCACAAGCACATTATGTGCTCGGAAACAAATTAATCTAAATAAACATAGAAAAGTACTAAAAATAATTATTATAATACGGAAATGATTAGCATGTTATTAATCAAACACACATTTATCTTAGGGATATAAAAAAAAGTATTACATAATACATAAATGTGTTCACCGATCTTTTCATGTGAGATATTTGTTATAATTTAATTTATTCATGAATATAATATATGTACATCTATAATTATCCATACGTGTAAAAAATAAATATTTAAATAAGGAAGAGGTAATCTATAGCTAAACACGCAAATCAGATTAGACTGTGCAATTGTCTTACATGGATTGCGTGCTAGCCAAGAGATTCCCATGCGAAGTCTTCTATAATTGGTTATCTATTTAGGTATGTAGGCCCTATTTAATGATATCGTGATATCATAGCTAATTATGATCAGTGATTAGTTAATAGCAAAAAATATACATTTTATGGTTAATGACATGATATTCTTACTTTAAATGCGTCTCTTATTTTAAATGCTAATAAATTAGGAAATAGGTCCCCACGCTTTCATAGCTTGAAAAGGAAATCAGAATATCTGATATTTATTACTATTTATAAAAAAAATATATTCCTACAGTATTGTAAGAACGTGAATCATTAAAATAAGTACCTACCGTCTGACAGTTTCTCATTCAAATGTCCTCATCGTAATGATTATTAGAGAAGATTTATGAATTTTAAACCTTATAATGATGCGTTTTAATGAGGCAAGCATGTACTGAGGGCATAGGCCAATGGCCGTTTACCACATAGATACGTAACAATTTCCATTAAATTTTTTGACTAACTAGGTAGAAGAATACTATGTAGAAGACGATCCAAATGTATTCTGAACATTGTTTCCTGCGCTTACTCATAGAACTTCTCAGTACCTGTTCCTCTGTTAAAACGGAGCTGCAGTTAGTCAAGGAAGGTAGTACGAGTGTTATCAACAAGTGATTATTAAATGAAAAAGAAATGAGCAGTGTTAGTTTCTTTTTACCTTGTGAGCTACTATACCATAAGTTTTGACACAGGAGGCAATTAGGACTTACAAAAGTGTTGGCGATAGCTTTTTCAAGTAACTAGAAAGCTCTAATACGTTCCAGCCTGACAACGATTGGTTGAGAACCAT